GTGACTACAACAGATGAATACGTTGAAGGTTATTGCTTCATTCTCATACATTTCAAAGAGCACGCGATGTGACACGTCATATAATGAAGTCAGGCAATGCAAAAGGAAATATCATAGAGAAACTTTTATTTTCCATCTATTGCAGAGAGCCATGAAACACATTAAAAATTCACCACAGAGCACAAGTGCACAAACACATGATAGGCACATCCTGCTACACATATTTTACATCCTCTTTAAACAGGAAGTTAATTGGATGATTTGAATTGGTAAAACACACTGCTGCTACATTGCTGCTCTTTGATCATCACGCCTGCTGATTGAAGCATGTCTGAAACAGATGACGGCCGGTCGTTATCAGCCTCAAAGGCCCAGGATCCATTTGCAGTGCTGGCATCTCAAGCACCTCATGTTCATCCTCTGAAGAAGGTGAGACAATCCATTAAGTGAAAGGCATAAACACTCAACTCTGGGAACCTGATTGTTGGCGCTGTCCCCCATCCAGCCCACCTGACTGCAGCGGACTGTGGGTTTTATACAAGACAATTCAAGTCCTGAGGTGGAACATTGAGAAAGAGAAGACAAAGGGAAATAAGACCATATGGTGATTTGCATATCATAACACAGCAGCACAACTTTTAATAGAACTCAGAGATGCAAGAGAGAGTCGACTTTGAGCTTAGTCGGCTCTGAACATTATCATTCACCGTGGCTTGAAATTTACCTGCAGATGCTATGAAACGGTTTCAAGTCCAAATAAGAGTGTTTATCTTTATCACATTTTTATTGCATATTTATTTGGGCATGTGGATCAGCTCATCTAATTAATCATTAATTACAGCATATCTGAAACAAAAAGGTAACGTGTCATATTTGCATCGTCCCACAGGCATTGCACAGGTACACAGACTGTGAATGATGTTGCCTTAATTTACAAATTAAGGACTCTGGATCATTTGGATATAATGTGGAGAAAAAGTCACCTGGTGTGAAATTAAGTCTTGTTTTTGTTTGTTTTTAAGAAAAGAAAAGAAAAAAAGACACTGTTGGCAAACCAAAGGGGAGCATGAACAGTCCAGTCATATTATAGACACTGAAACTTGAATCATCTACTTTTCCTGCTTCTTCTGCAAAGGGCTTAACACCCCTTCACTTGTACAGTGCATTAACACCACAGCATCAGAGCTACTAGGTCGATTTAAAAAGTTAAGCTGATAAAAGATGAAGAAATATTTGCTCCAGCGCTCGACTGTTAAACATCTTTTCCATTAGAATAAGATGGTGTGATTACATATTTAAAACGGCAGGCTCAAGAATCTCAGTTGATCTCGCAGGTCATTGTAGAAAACTATTCCCTGACCTTTGCCCTTACACTTTACACCAGCTAAAAATGATGGATGAATGATTTTATATCTATTTTTTCAGTAATGTATCAGAGCTTGCCCATCAGTGAGGCTGAATTAAACATTGCTGCTTGAGACACATTTAGTTGTTAATGGCACTCAACAACCTTTTTTTGTTGTAATTGTCTCTCATGGAAGCAGAGGCTTTGGCTGCTACAGTGTGACTTAATGATCCATACTTTGGAACATTTTAAGAAAAATTATGACATACTGCGTTTCATTCCCATGTCGTGGTAGGTAAATTAAATTTGTATCCCACTTATCATCATTTCATTATGATCCTAAGCACACTCGTCAGAAAATACCAAAAATTAACAAAACAACGTGATTTTTTTTTTTTGCAGTCCTTTATTTAATTCATCATACACATTATAGGATTTTACATCGGTTCGTGGAGTAGATTAGATTGAGTAAATTATCTGAGAAGAAAAATCCAAACTTTAGTCTCTGAGCACTCTACTCACCCTGTCACTCTCCTCATCTCTTTGCTGTTTTCTTAAACTCAACATTCAGCAAAGTCAAGAACCTTGACGCTCGGCCCTTTTCCGTGAGACGACTCTGAGCTGGCTGCTGGTCATCTGCAGCACTTTAAACTCAGACCTGCCACTTTTAAAGAACTGCACGATCAGCGTCTCCCACGGCAAAAAACACCGTGGCGTGTTTTCTCTTGCGTGTGGAGGCAAGAATGAAAACTGAATACGTGCGGATGTCTTCCAGTGTTTATTTAGAGATCGTATCCAATGACTGAATTTTCCTTAAAATCATTAAATTTCCGAAAAACGTCACTGTGTTTACATTTCCTGTCTTGGCATTTCATACCTCTAATGCAGACAAATATGAAAGAAAAAAAAACCTGTTATAGAAGTAAAGTGAAGTTCGTGATCGTGGGCTTACATGGATGACAAAACTCAAGCGAATAGATTTTATAGTGCAACAGAACTGCAGTCAGGGGGGAAGAAAGGAGAAGCAATAACAAGTCAAAGCGCTGCAGAAGAAGCTGCAGGAGAGCTGGTGTCCACTTGTTAAACCAATGGATGCCATGATGTTTACGTGAACATGATAATGAGCTAAACAAGTAATGGTAAGCATATGTTACACCCCTCCTAATGTGCTCACGGTAGAAGCATATAGTTTGTCATTGCAACAACACAAGCTGTGTTCATATTTAGTATATATCCCCCCAATAATGGAGTTCAAACACGAGTGCCAATTTAACACCAAGAAATCTTTCATACCAGAAAATAAACTGTGCGCAACTTAAAATGCTTTTTCACAATTATTCCTTTAATTAGACACATTAGATAAGTCATCTACAAATAGTGACTTCATTCAGTGAGAACAATGACAAGCCTTTTATGAATTTAGCTTATCATCGGCTGTGAATCAAATAGATTTGTTACAGAGCGCTGCAGGCGTATCCTTGCTTTTAGTGCGTCATAGAAAAGCACTACTCTTGACTGTTAAATGGGTACAGTTCAAATTAAAGTGGACAAAGACAATCCTGTTTTATTTAATCTTATAGATAAACAGTGTGACAGAAGCTGGAGCTGTTCGGAGACGATGGAAGGATTCCCCTTTGAGCTCCACAGAAAACGTCAGCTCTCCGGTTTCTTCCTTGCGTAAGTCATAGATGCTGGTGTTTGTGTTAGGCAGCTCGCACCTCTCCAGGCTCTTCTCACGCAGATGGGCTGCTGATGTGAACAGTACTCTGCAGACGCTCGCTGAGTCAACTTGTATATGTGTCATGTGGGCTTTTGTCTGCTTCACACAGCAGCCTGCCGCCTACACTAATACACACAGCACCAATTTGAATGCAGCTCGTGGATTCGAATATGACCGTGTTACTTTCACATGCCCACCGGCTGACACCAAAACAGCAAACAGAAGAAGCCCTAGTGTTGATGTCTTGATATGTTTCTGCTCTCAGCGCTGTTTGTGTTTGTTTCAAACCGCTGTTTTTATTCCAAAGTCAAAACTGGTCACAATGCAAGCAGATTAAGAATTTATCTCCTCTCCCCTCAACCCTCCTTCACCGTGTTCAGCATCTCCGCACCCCCTGCTGCGAAACGTTTCTAACCCAATGAGGCCCCCTACAGTTGCAAGCTCACTGACGCTGAACTGAGCAGGTGCATAAAGATGGTAGCTTTTACTTTGACGTCATTTGACCCATTTTGCAGTGCTTTGCATAGTTCTCTGCATGGAGGGATGTGTTCAGGCATTTTGCAGCTTGGAAAGTAAGTCTATGTGACTGCAGGACGTGATGCACATGTAAAAAACCCAAATGCTAACGATTTGATTCTTGATAATAATGAAAATGGTGCTTAATTTTCATTATTTTCCTTCGATTGTAAGGAAACAGATCCAGCCCTCTCTGAGTTTATTTGATGCTCCAAGTAGATAGTTATTATTTTGTTTGATTTTATTTTTAAAAAACAAAAACGCACACCTCTCCTTTGCGTTTCTGGCACAAAACGTAACAGCGGTGTAGATTTAGATTTTCACACGCGTGACCAGCTATGACTCACAGCCTTCTTTGTTGTAAAAGGCGATGATTGATTCAGACTTTCTTTGGTAAACCTTACTTCACCCCCATTGTTCACTTTCACTGGAGTGAATTAATCTGCGAGCTGCTGCGCCCCGTTCGTCCCCCTATCCAATTGCGCCACACCGTGGAGACGCGCAGACTATTTCTCCGCCAGCTCCCTCTTCTCTGACTGTGAAATGGAAACTGTGCTAATTGCCTGTGGACTGTTTACGTCGAGCCTAGTTTGTTTTGAAGAGCGATATGATTATGCTCTCAAGATCCATAACAATGTCATAAACCGCAATCATGCACTTAAAAGACAGTCAAGTTTGCTGGTTCATTAAAGAGAAAAAAAGGCGCATTATTTCAGCAGTTGGGATATGATTTAGCTGCAGTCATTTGTAGTGATGGAATTAGATGCAGTAAGGCGACATTTGCAGGTAAGAGCTGCATGGCGCCAACTGAAGACCTCTGCTTCCATCTTGTGGCAACCTGGCGCAACGATTTTTCTCCTCCTCCGCCTCCCCCCCCTCTCCCTCCAACACTCCCCTCTCCCTTTAATATCGGCACTGTGGCGAATCTAATCTGGATCTCCTTTAAGGCAATAAAACCCAGATCGCTTCCTTTAAATGAAAAGCACCGCTTATTATAGCTTTGAAATCCTCGTTTATTTGGCGATGTGCGTGATAGAAAAATGATTCATGTCGAGGTTCAAATGGGCAGGATGACGAAGATTCACGGTGTCCCAAGTGCATATTTCCTCAAGTATTGTATTCCAAGGTATATAATAGAGTTATCCACGCAGGTTGAACTATGCTGCACGCCAAGATGCTTGTTTTAATATCGTACTGCTTTATCCCTTCAAGCAGCCAAAAGCAATTTCCGATAAATCTGACCCTGTTGCTGAGCGGATAGAGGTGTAGTGTAATTTTCTGGTGCGTTAATGGCAATACGGGGGTGCAAAGAGAATGCTGTTCGTCATAAAAGTTTATCGTAAAGGCTTCCACGAAGACACTATTGAGGTTTTACTTCAGTTTTGTGGAAAACACGACAGAGCCTGACTGAACGCGCAGGGAGCTTCCAGCTGGTTTAAATCACTTTATATTTGCAAGTGAGCATAATTTCTGAAAGCAGATTTGTATGGATCCGGAAAAAAGTGTTAAATATCATATTGTTAAATATGAAAATGTAAAGGCAATTTATGAATAAAGAAACCACTTGAATGGGATCAGTTCCGGTCTTTCATGCGTAAAAGTCCACAACACACCTGCCAACAAACCCAGTTTTTGTCCTCACGGAAAAACATCTGCATTTTCCATTCAAAGCAAAATAAAAGTGCAAATGGCAGCTTCAGCATTTACTTATTAGTCAGGTGTATTATTTGTTCTGCATCCGTATATTGCGCAGCAGCACGGCACTGGCTTTAACGTCAGGAGAGCTGCTGTGAAATCTAACCGTAAATTGTTAATTAATAGTAGCTCAAGTTTACTCTCGATACGGAAGTCCTTAAAAAAGGACGGGGGGCCAAACAGTGTCAAATATTTTTCCATGTGTTCATTTTAGAAACAGGCCCACGCACAGCAAACAAGGAGGAACACTGTCTAGAATTAAAAATAGTTTTTGCGCCTTGACGAGCCACTTTTTTGGACAGACAATAATCGGCCTTTCACGTTGGAGAATGGGAGGATAGAGGGAAAAGAGAAATGAGAAGGCTGTTGTTGGCATAGCTCTATCAAGGAAGAAGGACTCCCTGTTATGTGTGAATGGGGCTTCTTTTTTTGACCAGAATAGATATAGCACGAATTTTTAATTCGTTTTTCTTTGAGAGACAACAATGCTTTATTTGAAAGCTTGATACAATTTGGGGCTTGTAAGAGATCCTTTTCTCCTTTTCCGAGCCCAGCTGCCCATATGGGACACAACGTGTGCAGCAAGGATCACAATGGCACCAAGTGACAGGCAGGACAAAAAGCCCAAGGATACATCTCCCTGACTCTGAACAGCACCAAGAAACTCTGTCTATCTACACTGTCTGCATCTCCACTCCTGCTGCTCGTTAGCATGCACGCCTCTAACATCCACAGAAACCAGGCCTGGGCTTTTGTTTTTTATTTTAATTTTTTTTATTGCCTCGTGCACTCGCGTTGCGCAGTGATAGAGTCGCAGAGCTGCCTTCTCTGTTGGACAAAAACTGACACAAATGTCAGCGTCATTCTTTCACTTATGAGTTTTTAAATTGCGTTATTGTTCCGGGACTTGTTCAGTTGGAGTTTGATTTGAAAGAAACCAGTCAGAGTTCACTAAAATCCAATCACAGACAGGCAATCATTTATCATCGACTCTTATCGGTTCTCTTTATAATTCTCATAACACGCACTGGTACTCACGTCATTTTTCTCTTCGCATGTGGCGGGTTTCTATAATAACTGCGGCTGCTTATTTAACACACGCACAGACACGTTTCTGGGGGTTTTAAGACAAAGAAATAAAAAAATAAAGTTTGATTTATTTGACCTGGAAGCTCGAAACACAAAACCTTTCTGTCAGCTACAAATTGAGTCTGTGTCATCCACAAAAGCAGTAGCCCCCTGAGACTCAATTCTGTAAATAATTAGCAAATCTGCCCAATTTAGCTGTTTGTTCGGTGATGATAGGGGCGACTCTAACATCTGCTGTGAGATTTTTTGGCCCGGGACAAACAAAATGCATAGATTTTTTTTCACCTAGGTTATCATATTTACTCAAGATATTGACTGGAGTCTGATAATCCGCAATGCGCTCTGCGGATCACTGGGGAGCCATTTGTGCTCGTTTTGGTCCCACGGTAAAGAACGCTGTGCCTAATAGCGTAAAGTATATTGTAATGCGGGCTATGATTGCCAACATGTTATATGATCGTGTAAAAAATGTCTTTATTAGTCCCTTCAAGTCTCTGTAAGCCACGTGAATTTTAGCTGAACGCTGCCGTGATTAAACAAAGAAGGCTGGTGAGTCATTGATCCGTCCTGCTCTGTTTGCAGTTTAGCGCTTAACAAGATAACAAAACATTTATTGCATTAAACGATGTTTTTCCTCGCAGTCTACCACTTTACAACCAAGGCCGGGGGTGGTTGGGGATGCTGACAAAAAGGAGAGCTTTTCACTCAAAAGCTTCTTATGTTGAGAAGCCCACTTATAGTAAGTGAGTGGATTTTAGTCCCATTTCACAAGTGACTTTCGGCTCTTTATTAGCGAGGTGTTCGGATTGAGAAAAAATATTTTCGGGATTAAATTTGCCTGAAAGAGAAAGAACTGAAGTGCGCTGGAGATTTTTTTTTTTTCGTTCCCGTGCTCACTTCCATTCTGTGCCACAATAAAGTGTTTTCATCATCGCCTTTTATCACCACGTTTACCGGAGTCTTTTAAAATAAAATAGAAATTTCACAGTGGCGGCTATAAACCAAACCCTGGTGTCAGAAACAACGCATTTTATTTAAATTATTATTTTTATTTAAAAAAAACAAAATCGGTTATTTAACCGTCGCCGCGAGGCTACAGTTTTTATTTACACGGCAGTCCCCTTATTTTATTTTTTTTAATTAAAAGATTCAGAAATGTAGGCTACACAACCCTCTTCATCGCCACACTCCCGCAACTGCTCTGCGTTGCAAACACCTGCCACAAAATTATTTACAAGAAATAAAAACCAAAGGGAAAAAGCTGAAAACTTGCCAGTGTTTATTCATGGCCATAAATATTTTTTTCGGTCCATAAAAGAAGCAAGAAATTAAAATTTCTATAATTATAAAGTGGTTCGTACGTGCTGATAATAACACGAAGGGACAAAGAAAAAAAAAAGAGGAAACATCTCTACAACCAACACACAACATACTTACAAAAAAATAAAATAAAAAATAAAAAATCACAAGAAGAGCATTGACATTCTTAATAAAATCTATATGGGAGAGGTTTGGACCCAGTTCTCTTAACGAAAACATGTAAACACGGCGCACACATGAGCCCCGAATAAAAATGGTAGTATATATATGAGTCAAGCTGCAAAAATGAAAAGTCTTTTGTTTGTGTGTTTTATTTTTTCTTTGCTTTGTGGTGAAACTCCCTACCGCGCCTCCAAGCCAAGTCTCTATAATTTCTCTCACCAAGTCCACTGTTGCGTTTGCACCAAGTGATGTGCTGTGGGGAATTGTGGCGTGGCCGCGGCGCTGTACTGCGCGTTATACTGCATGTGTTGGAGTGACTGGGCACTATATGCCGAAAAGGGGATCCCGGCCTGAAAAGTGGCCGCCAAGTCCTGAGCTTTAAGAGTGTGACAAGGCTTTCCATCCCTGACTAAGACGGGCACGGCCACCCGCCTGGGAGAAGGGAGATGGGTCACTTCCATACCTTTCTCGGCCCGGGCTCTCTTCATCTTATACCGGTGGTTCTGGAACCAGATCTTCACTTGGGTCGGGGTGAGGCGGATCAAGCTGGCCAGGTGCTCCCTCTCCGGGGCGGACAGGTACCTCTGCTGTCTGAAGCGGCGCTCCAGCTCATAGGTCTGTGCCTTGGAAAACAACACCCTCCTTTTCCGCTTCTTGCCAGAGTCGCTCCCGCCGCTGCTGGAAGTTTCCTTGTCGTTGTCCGGCGATTCGTCGTCCGCAGAAGGCTCCGGGGACTTGGCGGAGTCCTGAGAGCTGGCGGATAGACCGTGCACTGCGGCAAGAAACGGGAGAAACACTGTCAAAATGTTATGTTGTAAAGTTCTTAGAGACATTTATCACAAACACATAATCTCCATAGAAAGTTTAGGATGCGTCACCATTACTGCTTAATTCGAATAATCTCGCTTTAGAGCGATGTTATGTTCAATTTCTCGGGATTTAACGACTCTTACAACATCTTTAATACAGAAGCCTAACTGAAGAATACAAGCCCAAGACCTGTGGCTAATTTCAACTATTTAGGACGCGTGGAAAACTGGAAAACAGAACAATTCCTCAGCCCAGTTCTACACGAGCAGGGCGAATCAGTGAAGCATTAAAAGGTGCATTGTGTGCTTGTAAATCCCCACAGAATGCAGGCTTATATTTCACACCATGGTTATACTCTGAGTAACTGACAGCCCCCTTGTTTTTCCACGGTGCTTAATCGATCGAATTCTTACAATGCAAAGTGCAGGAGTCTAAACACTGAGCGCATTTGTTGAGCTGCAAACGCCACAATCGAGCAGTGCACGGTGCATAAATTTGAACACTGAAAGCCACCCAAGGGCATCGCTGGGCTGGAGCTGGAAGCTGCATGTCATCAGTTATGGTTTAATGTAAACGCATAGCTTGTAAAAGAAGTCGTTATCATCTAGATCAGCAAGGATTCTTCTACTTACATGAATATTGAATACTGTCCGTTGTTGCAAGCCATCGTGTGTAAGGATTGTCACTACTGTCATAAAAGGGGTTCTTTAAAGGCAGATTTTGAACGTTTTCTAGAGGACTTTGCACCAAAACTCCAGTGGTTTTTGTCGTGGACGTGGTCTCCGATCCCTCTGTGTCTTCCTCCGCTCCGGTGATAGATCCTTCTTCGTCATTTGTGTCAGGAAGGTCCAAAATGTCCTTTACAGAAAAGCCCGTCTTTGTGTTGGTCAACGACATATTCTGGTGGGGGGGAATATGCAGGGAAAGTTGCTGCACCAGCTTTTCGGACAATCCGCTGTTTTGAAAGAAAACAAACAACAAAAAGCAGAAGCGATTTTTCAGGAAAACAGGACGAGTGAGTGTCGCTCTACGCTGAAGTACAGTCAAAGCAGCCACTGTGGATAACCATTGCCTAAGCAAGTAGTAGCAGCGGATTCAGTCTCTTTAAGTCCAGGAAGGATGCCAAAGAGGCTGAAGTGCTATATGTGGCTCATGGATATTGTGCTACTGCTGGGTGCTAGAGGGAAATAAGCCATTACCTTGTCCGATCAGTCCATATAAGGTTGGTCTCAACACATGAACCTGCAGTGAAAAAGCATTAAAAAACGCGAAAGGTTGGCCACGTGTGGGCGGGTCTTAGGAGTCAAGTGGATGAAGACAGTGTTTGCAGATGTGAAATTGTGGGTTTTGGGGAGATCCGAGCCTCTACCATTGGTGCTTCAGAGCATGATGAGTGGTATAACGTGTCAATTAATTACAAAGACGGGGAGGGCCTTTTTTACACCCTATTTACATACAAAGAACCTCCAAGTAGCTTTATACTCACAATACTTAAAAAGCCCGTTTTTAACAAATTGCTCGCACTGAAGCTTTTTTCCTTTTCCTTCCCTCACATATATATATATTTATATTTATTCATAAAAAATATAACAATTTGGAGTTTGATGTGTTAACTTGTTCTTTTTGTTGAGAGATGGAAGCCACGAGAAAGACGGCTATTGTTTAAATATTTGGGGATAATTTATGTAAACCTTTTGAGTCAATATTTTTGCCAGAGCTTAAGGACAAGAGGCTGTGTTGAAACTGAAGCAGGACTGTGTTTGTCTGAAAACGCTAAACAACCGTTTAAGGCAGCAGGCCTATCCAAATGTGACAGTGATGACGAGGGTTGTAAAATAAACAATAATAATAATAATAATAATAATTTTTTTTATTCTATTTGAACCACACATTTCTGCACAGTTTACAAAGCAATGTGACTACCAACATTTTTTTTTATCTTTTGCTTTTTTCCACAGTAAATCTGTCCGCCTCCATCATGGCAGCGCATCCTAATATTTGTTTTTTTGCTTGTGTGGAGCCCCCTTCAAAGTGCTCAATCTCGCCTTCTTTTTTTTTCCTGGGGAAATCCGAGTATCATTGTTGCTTACTTTATTTTCCTCCCCTTCAAGACTTTCCCTTTCGCTCTCCTCCCTCTGCCTCCTATCCAGTATGTGATGTGGGTGACAATGTTTCACGTTTTTTAGCGAGTCCTCTGCGCATCCTGGGTGGTCGGACCCGGGCAAACACAAATACAAACCGATTGCTAAGCTGCAGACAATGGGGGAAATGTAGACAAATGTCCGGCTCCTGTTGGAAGCTTTTGTCCGGTCGCAGTTTTTGCATTTATTTCAGGGGCGAAATAATAGATGATTGACGCCCCGTGCACAATGCTTTCTAACTGTTTGGAATAAATCTGAGGTTGTTCCTAGTTGTCATGGCATTCAACTGCTTTCAATGGACTATCTCTTCATTCAATTCCTGGATCCTTCCACAATATTAAGGAAAGTCCTTCATCTCAGCACACACACACGCACACTCTCTCTCTCACACACACACAGTAGTCTCCTTTTCGAAAGCCAGGACCTATTGTGTCTTTTTAGTTCCTTATAGGCTGGTTCCATAGATTGCTTCAGAAAAACGCAGTTTAACTGACTTGATTGAAGCAAGCCAAGAAATAATAATAATAATAATAATAATAATAATAATAATAATAATAATAATTATTATTATTATTATTATTATTATTATTATTATTATTATTATTATTATTATTAAATTATAATATTAAATTATTCTTCTTTTGCGACAATTAGCAGTAATATTACAGACTTTTTTTAAATTTTAAAATAAGATACAGTCCAGGTAAAAATTTAATTCGCTCATTCTTTCTTGGAACGTCCTTTCTAAGATTTTGGGTGCATATAAAAGCGCGCCTGGTGCACAGGCCTGAGGTAAATATTTCACTAGCCTGGCAGAATTAATCACAAGTCTCTGCGTCCCACAAAGGCTCCATTGAGCTGAGCGGGCTATATGGACAAACTGGAGCTGCGCCTGAGCCTCTATAAGGGAGAGAGAGGTTACTGACCTGATCCACCAAGTAATGCTGCACAGCTAAATCCGACATGTGAAGGGACAAGCAGCCCACAGGAGACACCCAGAAAGCTTTACGCACCACGGAGGAATGACCCAGGCTGCAGCCTTTATGCGCACCTCATCAGGAAACTGACTTTGGCCCATGCAACAACATTATTTCGTTGAGATTTATTCAGTGGCTTAAAAGTGTATGGAGCCAAATTATGGTATGTTTGAGCACGCAGGGTTACCATCCGTGTCATTCTGCTTTGGTTCTGCCGTGGGTGGCACACTGACACGGGGAGGGGGAGTCACAGTAGGTCTGGTGACGGTGCATGGGTGCGCACTGGGCTGCAGAATGTGGTCAGTTGCTGGGGATATACTATTTGATCAATTGAGCCGAGGGTTTCGGAAAAGGAGAGGTAAATGTGCACTGGCTAAGTGGACGTACTCCACTTGGAGAGCCTATCGCTCTGTGTTTACCTGTTTACTTTCACAGGTAGTTCAAACAGCCCGCTTGCCTTTTCACTCTGACAGTGGCCAGTATGCAGACTGTTTTTGTAGAGCTGGACGAGTTAACGGGACCAACACCGGGAAATGTTTACAGTCCAGTAAATTAGCTCAGGACACATTCAGGCGAAATTTATGTAAAATTATTTGTAAAAAAACAAAGTGTAAAAATACGTCGTGCATTTTGTCCAAGTTAGACTTTTATTTTCTAGTCATGATCTATTTATTGTAGTTTTTGTTGTTGTGTTTGCTTTTTGTATTTTTTTTCCACGCTTTTGGTTTTTGTTTCTTTAAATATTAACTCGCAAAAATAAGAATCCTCTGTTTAGAGTCAAAAAGTTGAAACAAAAAATGTTAAATCCACTTAGAGACCATTGTTTCACTATCCCCTGTTAGGACTGTGTGAAATGTGTGTGTATTGGGGGTGTTAATGCGCACAGAAGATATTGTAAAGAATGGCCTGTGAGCTGTGGATGCAGCAGGATTTAAAGGACAATGCGGGGCGCAGTGCTGCTCCTTCCTATCACCTGCTTATTTGAGTCCGGTTGACATTAAATCTTTAGATCTGACACCAGAACGATACACTATTCTGACTGAGATGTTCATTTGACTTTTGTGCGTATAGTGCGTGCACAACACTAACCTTTTTCCTCTCTGTGATCACCGATGCTGTAATTATGCTATCACCAGTTTTGCCAGTTCTTCCATTTTAATATTATATGCTACAGAGCTGGCTGCCTAATTATTAAAGCTCATTACATTTTTTTCCTGATCCCAGCTTTGCAATCAAAAGTATGACAGAATGGATTCATCCAAAAACAATTAATTTTTCGGATGAACCCCAAAAAACGGGCCCCGTCTGATTAATTATAATTCCCTCCTAAAAATTCATGCCCACGATTGTTCCCAAATAAGTAAAGAAAGGGCTTTTTATATTCTTGATTAAATAAATCTTTCGATTGAATGCACAAATAAGAATGCCGCAGGAGAATCCATAATAATGTTGATCATTGCTTTCCTTTAATCGCTGAATTTCAGCGTGTTCGGATGCCTCAGGCAGTGAGGTAGTCTTTGATAAAGGTAACCCCGCCTGCCTCAGGGTGCCTATGATAAATGTACAGAGTGACAAGACCGATTTCCTCCCTCTATGATTAAAAGGCTATATATAATATTCAGGTAGCCGGGTCCGGTTTATTTATGGGGGCTAAGCCGTGGCCCGAGGAGACTTGGCTCGAGGGCAGAAATCATTCTGAAGCCCGATTTTTTCCCTTTTTTTTTCTTAAAAAAAAGAAGAAGAAAAAAGAAAAGAAAACAGAAACAGAAATCCTTCCACCTTCCCCCCGCCCCGGGCACAAAGTCTTTATTCGTCTCCTTTTCTCTAATGATTAAACATGTCATGGCGAGATTATAGCGAGGCGCCCATGCCCCGAGGAGATGCCTTCATTTGTTAAACCACCAGTTTATTTGTAACGGTGAATTTCATGCCACGCTTTCCCATTCGCCTTAATCTTTTTCTATGTAAGACAAATTGCTAAAAGGGGGTTTATTATTTTTTAATCACTTCCCATTTCAACATCGCTCTGACACCGGCAGGGAGGAGGGAGAATAGTTAGAAATCTCCAAGGCTTCTTCACATAAATCCAAAGTGACAATTTGTAAAGCCTCGAACGATATTATTGTCAAATAAACAAACAAATAAATAAATAAACAAAAATAAAATAAATAAATAAGTAAATCATCCTCTCCACGAAAACTTGATCTGGCCCGCTGTTGATGGCACAAGTACAGACAACTTGTCCTCCTTGTTAAGCAGCTAGTGTGCGAGAGCAGTAATAACATTAACAGCTGTTGACATCTGTAGAGCTCTAGCGGTCTCTACCGGCAAAATTAAGAAACAACAGGGGGTGCTTACAATTAGGCAACTTATGATTGCCAGTATCGTTGCTCAGAGGTGCACAGAAAAGAAACATTTGATCATACGAGGACCAAACGCAGGATTTCTGACAGGTAAAGCACAGAGATGTTATCTACGCACAGATTTTGGCTCGGCTTTGGTGTAACTTTGTGAGCGCATCATTTGTGGAAGGTTTTTTATTTTAATTTATTTTATTTTTTGCATCATTGGGGTCAATATGTGCGCCTTTTGTTGACTCATGGACAAGAACATCTGTCGTATTAAAATATTTTCTTTAATTTTACTCTTAGTCATCTCCAAATGACACCTCAATTCTCCCGATTGAGCAATTGAGTGTGAAGGTGAAGGCCTCTAAGTGTCACGCAATGATAATGTTGAAAACAGCACAGTCTGCCCACGTGAACGCGTAATGATCACCAGCTACTGTAGGCTGAAACCCCCCGGGCTTGGTTGCTTCTTTTTTTTTTTTAAACCCCTTTAGGTTCCGCGTTTTATTAATTTAAAGACCAAAGTGCGCGCTCGCGTGCATGAATCAGCAGTAACAGAAAATAAGCAGCGTCTATTAAGCTGTAACACGAGAAAATACTGTATAAACTGCCTGGAGCATCCAGTGCGCTTACCTAGACTGGAGGGGGGCTGAATGTGTTGCCAGCGTTAAGACAGCGCGCAGAGTTAATGAAATATCTCCAAATGGGAGTCAGGAGTGCGTGCAGAGATAAGCCTGATGTGGTTTATATACCCAGAAAGCAAGTGCTCCTCTTCTCATATTGTCCAAGAGCGTTTGCATAGCTGGCCAAGTGGCTCTGCTCTTGCTGACTCGCTAACATTGCATGATGTTTGTTTTCCCCTTGCTATGACGTGAGACAAAATATTG